CTCCCCCCCCGCCCCTCCCCCATCCTCTCCCCCAAACCCTCCACCCCCTCCAGCACAGATAGCAGCACAGAGCCTCCAGTCTCCTCTAGCATAGATACCAACATCTATCGCCCAGACCTCCTCTAGCACAGATCCCCCCCAATTATTACACCCACTACAGCCCAGCTGCCCCCAAATCTCCCTTCATCTCCTCTAGCATAGATAGCAACATCTATCCCCCCCAAAAATTATTCCAGGACCCTTCAGCCCAGATGCTCCCAAATTTCCCCTCACCTGCTCTAGCAGATGCCCCCAACCCTTCCCCATCACAATCCCTGAACATCATGAGATACCTGGCACACCAGGTTTATGTAAAGGAGCTGCTGTGAATTTAAGAGTCTTATTTCACAAGGCAACAAAACAGATTATTAGGCTGTTTCTACAGCAGTGAGGACTCTTCAGACAAATCAGTTTCTGGATATTCATTGCAAACTGGTGGTTTTTAATCTGTGGTCTGCAACCCCCCTGGGGTAGGAGTCTATGAACTACATCTAAGAGGTCTGCATAGCCCCATAGAACAGACTGGCTACGTCTAAACTGGCATGATTTTCCGGAAATGCTTTTAATGGAAAAGTTTTCTGTTAAAAGCATTCTCGGAACAGAGCGTCTAGATTGGCATGGACCCTTTTCCGCAAAAGCACTTTTTGCGGAAAAGCGTCCGTGCCAATCTAGATGCGCTTTTGCGCAAAAAAGCCCCGATCGCCATGTTTGCGATCGGGGCTTTTTTGCGCAAAACAAATCTCAGCTGTCTACACTGGCCCTTTTGTGCAAAAGTTTTGCGCAAAAGGGATTTTTGCCCGAACGGGAACAGCATAGTATTTCTGCAAAAAGCACTGATTTCTTACAGTAGGAAGTCAGTGCTTTTGCGGAAATTCAAGCGGCCAGTGTAAACAGCTGGCAAGTTTTTCCGGAAAAGTGGAACACAGTCACTGTGTAAGATTTCCAAGAGGGCCTGTATCACTCATTTTTAGGGGTCTGCAACTGGAAAGTTGAAAACCATTGCTGTAAACCCTTTCTATCCAACCCACTGCTAATCCTTTCCCCATGAGAATCCAATGGCAACCTGCCACTTTAAGAATCCCATTTCAACTTTCTTTTTTTTTTTTAAATGAGGGTTTAAAAAAATTTTTTTTAAATGTTTTAACACAAATTCAAACAGGGGACCCTAAAACCAAACACACTTTCTTCATCTCCCCACTCTTGTATTTTAAGAGCCCAGTCCTGCAAAGACATAGGCCCACAATATCTCCATTTTGGAGAGCTCCTGTTAAGGCAGCAGAAATACTTGAATAAGTCACTCGTAGTTCTTGACATGGTTAAACCCTAAATGTGCTATACGTACATGTATGGAAGGGGTTGCAGGGTAGTGGGGTAAGAGGGTAAAAGAGGGAAAGCTCTTTCCTTATAAGCCTTCAGCTTCTGTGACAAAAAGAGCCTCTAGTTTACACAGATAATTCCTTGCTAATTCCATCCCTCTCGTCTTAAAATTACTGTGCAACTGATTTTCCTAAATTAGTCTTGAACAGGGGAGTAGTAGTTACCATGTCTATGCAAGCACCCTCATCTCAGATTAACCTACAAATACAGCCACATTTATAATAAATGCTTGCCTGTTCACAAAACAGCAAAGAAAAATGTTACTGTTCCTGATTGAGTGGCAAAAGAGATTAGTTTAATTTTAATCAGAAAATTTCATCCCAACATTAGGGAGTATCAATAAAGATGCTCATGAATAAATTCCCTTATTCAGAAGTGTGTTAAAAGTATTTAAAACAGCTCAGTGTAGACAGATATGGCCAATTGTCCCTTATTTTTTATCATTTTAAAATAAGGAAAATTACATCAAGTAAGAAAATACATCTACAATTATTGTAGGACTATAAAATATTACAGAACTAAACAACTGTGGCAAAATAAAATGTATTCCTCAACTAAGCTATCACAAATAAATTAGTAAGGATCTAGTCACAAATATGTACTAATGACTTCTATATGAACATAATTAAATTAACATATATGAAGTACAAATTTCAAAAGGGCTGAGTCTTATTTAAACTCAGTCTGACTTAAGCAATTACATTTTTCAGGTATTTTTTTGAAAAAATAGTAATTGTTACTAGTTAAATGGACACAATCTAATCAGATTGCCATATTGATTTACTGGTAGTTAAACTGTCAAGTTTAAAAATCTAATTCCTTTTTTTCTAGGCTCTTGTTTACTTTTCCCATTTAGACATTCAGAATCAATGAAATTAGTTTCCAGGTTCTCACGGATATGAGGTTTGGACTGCAAACAGTGCAGAGGAGTGTGTTTAAAAATGTTTCAGTTGAAAACGTTGTGGTTTTTTTTTCTGTGAAACATTTCTACTAGCCCTAGTTTTTACAAGTCTTAAAAAGTCTTTAATTCCCCCCCCCCCATCTAAACTTAGTGCCAGGTTTATTTACTTTTGTGTTCCTTTAAAACAAACATTAAATGACTAATTAAGAAAGATTTTCTGATGAATTTTTAAAACAACATATTGAAAGTGACTTGTTGGATGGTTCTAACTTTTTAAAGTCTATTGTTACTCTCTAAGGCTGTGTCTAGACTACAGGGTTTTTTCCAAAAAAGTAGCCTTTTTTTGAAAAAACTTTACCTGTGTCTGGACTGCAGCTGTGTTTTCGAAAGTAAATCGAAAGAATGTTGCAGTTTTTTGATCACGGTAAACCTCATTTTACAAGGAAAAACGCCTTTTTTCAAAAGTACTCTTTCGAAAAAAGGCACTATTGAATTCAAACTGCTTTTTCGAAAGAGCGTCTAGACTCACTTTCAAAAAAGCGGCTCATTTTTTAAAAAAAAAATCTGCTTGTAGTCTAGACGCTGTCTTTCGAAAGAGGCTTGCAGTCTTGACCTACCCTAAGGCTACATCTAAACTACATCCCTTTTTCGATAAAGGGATATAAATTAGACACTTCGAAATTGCAAACGAAGCAGGGATTTGAATACCCGTGCTTCATTTGCATAATCACTTAATGGTGCTCTTTCGAAAAAGCAACATTTTGAAAGTAAAACCACTGTCTAGATGTGGTTCTTTTGAAAATGGCAGGCTTTTTGAAAGAACCACATATAGACCACGGTTTTACTTTCGAAATGACGCTTTTTCTAAAAAGCACTATAACGTGATTATGCAAATGAAGCATGGATATTCAAATCCCCCCTTCATTTGCAATTTTGAAGTGTCTAATTTACATCCCACTGTCGAAAGAGGGATGTAGTCTAGACACAGCATAAGATGCCACAGGACTATTGGTTGTTTTAAAGTTATAGACTAACACGACTACTCCTCTTATCTTCTCATTCTTGCTATGTAAAAGACCCATAACCACAAAACCAACTACCCAGACTATTATCCAATTCATAAAGATTATATTGAATTTGTTGGCATTTTGGGGGAATGCAGAAAAAAAAAACCTTGGTTTTGAATAAATTCCTTTCCAGTTGCCAGAAGTTTTTCTTTAAAACAAAAAACGAAGTGTTCAAGGAAAGTAGACTTTCCATAAACTTGTCACTTGTTAGAACAAAAAGGTTTTCCATTGGAAAACTGAATGACATTTTCCAGCCAGCTCCCCCTTAAGTATCAGGCAATATTTTGAAAGCCTTTGTCCTTTTCTTCTTTATTTAAAGATAGCTTAGCTTGTGAAACTATGACACAGGCAACTACCAGCTCAGGTGTTACTAACAACAAATTGCAGTAGTGAAGCTATAATTACAATCAAAGACTGTGGCATAAACTAATCTAATGTTTTCATATTTACACTAGCTATAGTTACTAACATTTGTAGAGTACATTTCTTCCACTTATTAGTAAAACGTGCATCTTTGGTATTTATTCATTGCTTCAAGAGAAGATGCATACACAGACTCAACCTTGATTATAAAGCAGATACAAGACCCAACATTGTTTTGACTAACAACAGACTTATTAATGTAGTTGAATTTTTTCCAGATATAAATAAATCTGTAGATTTACTAATATGAAAGTGCAAGATTAAGTGTTTTGAGAAGCATTTTACAAGAATGCATCTCCTTTGCTATGAATATTACAGTATCTGAATTTAAACATATAGTACAGTGATTGCCATCCATAGCCAATCCCTAAGCTAGATGTAGCTCATATTCTAGATGTATTTAAGTTCAATTGTCAAAAGAAAAACAAATGAATTGTAATCCTATGAACTTCTGATGAAGGTCAAGAGTGCTTTCATGAATGAGAGTATGGCACTAATTTACTAGAAGAGAAATTAGTAAATAAGGTAAATTACTAATTAGTAAATTAGTAAACAAGGCTTAATATCATGAATAACTGCTTAGGTTACAGTTTATCAAAATAGTCTTCAAATTCTAGGATACTTCCCGAACTACAGGATAAAAATAAAGGTAGTAAATTTCACTTTTAAGGTTTCTTAACCCCTCAATTACTAAACTGATATGTTAAGAGTTTTGCCCCAGTAGATATTAACCACAGAAACCAAGCCCTGGTCTACACAAGGACTTTATTTGGAAATAATGCCCAGATCCCTATTTTGTTACAGATTTTTAGTAAGCCGTAACAGGGCACAACTTATGTGACTTCTTTTTGCCTGCAAACCTGTCTGCGACTTTTACTAAAAAATCTGATGAATGATCCAGATTTTGATGTTGGAAAGAAGAGCCTGCCGAAGATATCATGCTTCCACTGCAGATCTGGTATCTCCTTTCTTGTGAAGTTCAGGCACTGCCATTCAACATCCAAACTGCAGGAAGGTGAGACTCAACGCTAGTTCGAGAAAAATGTTGTTGCAGAGAACTGCATACCAGTCGGAGTAATAACAAGACCATTAACACCATGCTCACCAGGATAACTGAGTTTTTATTTCTAAAATTGATTCCTTTACATAATCACATTTGATGGAACCCTGATCTCTTCCGCTTACAATGATCTCCATTCTGATCTCATGCTGCCATTCTGATCTCCACTTTAAAGATAAGTGCCACTGATTAATTGCTACAAGCAGAATATTCCTTGTGAGCAGACTGATACTATTTTAACATTATTCTTTGTACAAACTATTGTAGACTTCTCAGCCACTTCATTCAATATGCAGAGGCCAATTATACGAGTACAGGCAGTCCCCGGGTTACGTACAAGATAGGGACTGTAGGTTTGTTCTTAAGTTGAATCTGTATGTAAGTCGGAACTGGCGTCCAGATTCAGCCGCTGCTGAAACTGATCAGTTTCAACAGTGGCTGAATCTGGACACCAGTTCTGACTTACATACAGATTCAACTTAAGATCTGTGGCCCCCCTCCTAGCTGCTGTTAGTTGGAAAAAAAGGTACTATGCAGAACAGTCGAAAGAGGATATGCAAATTCCATGTGAATTTGCATATCATCTTCTGTGCGCAGTTTCGAAAGCGGAGCTTGTGAAAGTAGTTTAGATGTGGCTTTCTCTAAACCAGCATGATCACTTAGTTGTATTTCATTCAAATAATATTAACCTTGTGCTGTATTAACTTTCATGGATATTTAAAAAGATGTTGCATTGGATGTATGCATGCTACTATCTCTTACTTGTAATTGTGGTTGCCTGCTAAATGTCTGAGAGTCAACAATAGCAAATGCAGGGTCAATAGCAAATGCAGGGTCATTGATCGTAGGGGACTAAAGAGACAAGGTGGGAGAGGAAATATTTATCTCTTAGTGGACCAGCTTCTGTTGGAGAGAGAGACAAGCTCTCAGGTTTATACAGAGCTTTTCTTTGGGTCTTATAGAAGAAGTTTGTCCAATAAAAGATAGTATCTCAGCAACATTAGCAAAGCTTTTAAAGCTAAATATGAAGTATTATATCTGGGGCAAAGCAGAGCCAAGCAGAGCCAACCCGCGGAGCGCGCGATCAGCTGACAGCCCAGACGCGTCTGCAGACCAGGGGGACGGGGGGGCAAAGCAGAGCAAAGCAGAGCCAAGCCGCGGAGCGCGTGGGCAGCGAACAGCCCTGTCCGCTGCCCACGTGTTCCGCTGCTTTGCTTCCTCTCCCTGGTCTGCTGGAGACCAGGGAGAGGAACGGCCCCGTTCGTAATTGCGGATCCGACATAAGTCGGATCCACGTAACTCGGGGACTGCCTGTACTGACATATTTTATTAAGGCTCCATTTAAATTGTTTATAATGGATTGATATAAGAATGTTAAAAATGTGGATAACAGTATATATACAGTGTACATGTGCATTAGAACTTAATAGGTTTGCTTATTTCTAGAGCTACTAGGACAATGCATAATCTATTAACTGATCTTTAACACCCACCCCCACCTGCCCTTTCCTGCCATCATTCTGCCCTCCTCTCCCCCCCTCCCCACAGCACCTTGTCCCTAAGGACATTGCTTCAGAAAAAAAAAATCACTGGGGGAAGAGGGAATAGAGGGAAGGAGCCTGGCGCAGCGTGGCAACAGCTGTCATGCCCCTTTCCTCCACATGCCACGTGGTGCCATAAGCCATGGGGGAAATGTAGCAGACTGGGAAAGTACTCTCGCTCCGCTGCACCCCACTTCCTGGTCGCTTGGCAATCCCCGAAGCTCTGTCCTCAGGGATGCAGTGCCATGAAATGGGGAGGGGGAAGAGAAGAGGGCAGGGTGAGGGTGAGAAAAAGAAAGGCTTGTGGGTCAGTAAGAGAAAGCCCTTCTCCTCTCGAAGTCCTGGGCCAGAGGGCACAATCACTCCAGCTAGGGATGGCCTGCTGGCCAGAGTTTGAGACCCCTGTTTAAGAGCAATAACTTCTGAAATCTGTTTCTTCTGCTTGCTCCTCCATTCAGAGAGATTCTGCATGGTTGGAAGTTACAATTTGAATTGCCACTCAGTTCAAACAGATGTTCCACACAGAGCTATGTATAATTTCATTGATCCTCTTTTAAGCTGTTACAACTGAATGACCTGCACAGATGGTAACCATGTAAAGCTGCCCAGATAGGACTCATGCTCAGTATGCAAGGTATGTACCAGAAATAATCACCACTTCAGCAATGAACTAAACGTTGAATCCCAATCTCAGGTGAGAAATATTTATATAGGAGAGCTGAAAAAGAAAGGCCAGAGTTCCACAGCAAGATAGTACTATCAATTCAATAGACCATCCTGTTTTGTAATTAATGTGTAGTGCTTTATGGCACTTGTACACAGAGTTGGGTGCTTCTCACCCCCCAAGTCAATCCCAATTGATATGAAAACCAGATGACCAACCTGCTCTTAGTGGTTTAGTACCTTTTGCTATAAGTGTTGATGTGAACAATCTAGTCAAGTTTCTTAAGCATATTTTATATACGTAACTTCAGCTGCTGAAGTAATGCTTAATCCTGAAGTGCATCTAGTTCCTACAGATTATAGTTCCATTGGTGCTGTGTTCTTCTCCACTAAGTTTTAGTATGCAGAGACTGGTCCCTCCATGTGAACAGACTGAGTAATAAATGATTGCATCTTTCTAAGAAGTGTCAAAAGAGATCCAATACATTGGCTTCCAAAAAAGCCTATGATACACAATCCCTTCTATCAAGGGCAGATACTATATACATGTAATATATCTTTATCAAAGAATCTGACACATATGCAATTGTTCATTTATTGAATTTGAAATTTCATGATACAACATAGATTAAAAACTATATAATACAGTGTTCAAAACAGTCTAGGACATGTTTCCCAAAATAACATGAGAACAAAGGAGAGCAGCTTCAATCTGCTGACTATATAGGAGATACACAGGGCATGATAGCACAAGTCACTGTTCTCTGTTGCAACATCTTTAAAATCTGTAAAGTGGATTTTACTGCCTATTGTGTAGCAATTTCTCTCCTACTGTATTAATGGAACAGATAATATGGGATGAGAAAGAGACCATAATATAGATGCCAATTTTATCAAATAGTTCAGAATTGTGATTACTTTTACATGTAGTATTTTACATGTTGGGATAGAAAATAAACAACGCTGTCATCACTGATTAAGCTCATGGACTGCAAGGACAAATACTGACAACTTTTAGGAGCTTTTTCAATGTGCTTCAACTGGGACCCACAAAATTCCTATTTTTAATAATCTTGTGACTCAGAAAGATATTACTAGTTATGGTGGTAAAGCAATGAAGACGACAGACAAGATCAGAACATTCTCTAGCCTGTAACTTATTTGGTATTTGAATCAGGTCTTCAGAAGTTAAATGCTAGTGCATTAGTTTACACTGACTAGCATCTGTATTTGATTTGACCATTTATTTAAATTAACTCAAGAACAGCATTAAAATACATGTTAGTCACTGCAAACACACAAATGATCCAACATGAATTGTAAAATGAGCTGATGGCAAGAAAAATCCAAGTTACACATTCTTTCTTATGTCTAAAGCATTCATAGAAAACTCACTGGGGTACATAATGAGTTAACTTTTAAATTAATTATGCAACTGTAAAGCTCCTTCAAAAAGAAGCTCAAGTTTTCTGACCAGGACATAGAGGTCTCCTAAGTTTGCAAGGCAAGTCATCAGTTGTAGCTCACCCCAGAATGGGGTTCTGAGCCAAAACTTCAAAAAAACACTTAACGTGCCACTTCCAAGCAAGTCAGGATTTATAGTTAACATTTTCCCTGCTGTTTTACTCTTTCTATTGCCAACACTATCTACTGAGGAAGCTTAAGAAATGCATCATTTCTAGTTGTAATAAATTGATGCTACTGCTGTTTTCATTTATTTTACTCAAGTGTATTTAGTACTTCTGAAGCCTTCCAAAGAGATAAGTGCACATGACAAGAAACAGATACAAACAGCAGGGTTTAACCTCAGCAGCCTGTCTGAGTGATCTCTTTTCCGGAAGATTTTGTAATTTCCATTGTCGTGAATACCTGTAAGAAAACCAAAACACAAACAATTTACCTTTTGGATTTATTAATGCCTTGTGCAGTAGTCTAAATGGCTGTTTGCCCCTTATACAATAGCACAAGTGAGGCTTCTACCAAATGTCTTTCTATGTAAGCTAGATGAAGACTACATAACTAGTTATTTACAAGAAATTTCAACTTTGTATATTTAAAAGCCCTAGTAACACTGGATTTCCCTCAAAGTTCAAAATAAAAGATTTAATGTGATAATATTTTAGATAATATTTGAGGGGAGTTACACATATTCAGGAAGAGAATAAATCACAGGGTTAAATATTAACTAACTCCTGGTTTGAATAAGTTGAAATTTCCCCCTTACCTCGGCACACGTTGGATGTATACCTATTGTTTCATCAAGTAATTCTTTTGTGAGTCCACATTTCATTGCTGCACCAAAGCCTTGGGTAATTTCTCCAGCATTGGGTCCAAGAACATGAAATCCTATCACTCGGTCCTGTTAAGAAAAGAAAAAGGAAAAGAAAAAGAAAAAGGAAAAAGAAAAGAAAAAGGAAAAAGAAAAGAAAAGGTCAGAGCAAATTAGGCCTTGTACTGGTAAAGTGGCATATTCAAATTTGAAGAGCAACTTCTAGTTGTCTTAAGATTTGTCTTGAAATGAATTGAGTCAATAGTACACTTGGCACAAGTCAACCTGCTCTGAAGCATCTATAAGTCAGACCAGGGAGATGCGGAGCAGCTTTTTTCGCCCCGGAGGTCACAGGCGGCAGGACCGCGGTGCGTCTGGGCGGTCCCTCCGCCTGCGTCCTCCGGGGCGAGAAAAGCCCCATTCGTAAGTACGGATCCGACATAAGTCGGATCCGCGTAACTCGGGGACTGCCTGTATCTTGTGGATTAAAAGAACAAGTTTAAGTTCTTAATAAAATATCCTTGTTACTGCATTAATAGAAAGTGTCTAGAATTCACCATGAACCAAGACCCTGGCCTCAAGTCAATCACTAAATATGTTCTTGAGTCTGTAGCCTAGAAATTTTACTTCTGAGGATAAACATCTGTGGACACAAATTTCAATGTATAATACTTACACCATCATGTTTATTGCAGATTATCTTTGCAAAGCAAGTATTATTGTCTCGGCTGGGTACTGTCCATTCCAGAGGCCAAAACAAAGTGTGATACACCTATAGGGGGCAAGAGGAAGTAGTGTTAAGCATGATTAAAATATTTTAATTTTAGTCTGTTTTATAAGATTCCCAGTTTGTACCACAACTTTAAACTGCTAGATATCGATTTCTCTTTAACATTTGATGGCATTACTCTCCAATTTCTAACTGAGTTTATCATCTTCACTCACTCGTATCTTCCAAATGAAAAGTTTATATGTAGGGTGCAGCTAGTGGCATTACCTATTGAGCTTGCTCAACACTTCCCAAAATATCCAGTTTTTTTCAGTTACCTATAAAACATTTTGGTGGCAGTTTTCCATGCCTGGTATCTTCCCCAGGCTGATTTTTTTGGGAACTGTCAGTCAAACCAGTTCAGCTATTTCTGGAAACAAGGATAACTCTGCAAAGCACTAGTGCTCCCCATGCTTTTAGGGATGCAAGGAGTCTCGTTTCATGTGCTCTCAATTAGAATCTCTAGCTGGCACCCAGGCAGTGTGGAAGTATACTCTGTATCTGAGTCAGATGGCTCGGAAACCGAACCTATGACATTATGGGGGAAGGGCTGAGGTAAAGACTGCCACTGACTTGCAAGGAGGCAAAGTCTAGCAGCTAGGGGAGGAAAGATCCCATTGTCAAAGTGTCCCACTACTCTCTAGTGCTGATCATTAACAATACAGTGGGGTAGCTGTGTTAGTCTGAATCTGCAAAAGCGGCGAGGAGTCCTGTGGCACCATATAGACTAACCGAAGTGTTGGAGCATAAGCTTACATGGGCAAAGACCCACTTTGTCAGAAGCATGTCTGACGAAGTGGGTTTTTGCCCACAAAAGCTTATGCTCCAACACTTCGGTTAGTCTATATGGTGCCACAGGACTCCTCGCCGCTTAACAATACATTAACTGATAAGTTAATGCTTATCAGTTTGTTACCTGTTAACCTGTGCCCTCCCCAGCTTTGCTCCTGAGGAGCTGGCTGCCCTGTGTTGTGGGCTCTAAGCCCCAATCCTGGGGTGCCAGCTCTACTCCCGGGGAGCCAGCTGACCCATGCAGACTAGTACCCTGGTCGTGGGAGTTGCAGCGTGGGTTAGTCAGTTCCCTCGGAGTGCGGATGGCTCCACCATCCTTAATTCCTCCCAGGTAAAACCGTTAACTACGTAACCAATAAGATTAACAATTACATGGTTATTTTAAAAGGCTTTGTTTTACATCCCTAGTCCAGAGGATTACAACTGAATACTGTTATCAGTTATTCCGTTAGCTCAAGTGGCAGAGGGCTGTATGTCCCAACCCTGCTCCTGAACCATGTGGGTTTAGTGCCATATGACAGGATTTCAGTTCTTATTTCTCCTTCTAAAAAGGCTAGGAAATTATACAAAAGAACGACATTAGGAGAACAGTAAAGTTGCAAAGTCAAGCACTCAAAAGATAGGCAGGAAATGACAGAATAAGGCTATGTAACTTATCTCACTACCCTTATGTTTATTCAGTATGTAGTCTTAAATTATACTAGGGGGCTGCCCCTCAGAATACTATGCTCATCAAGGGAGGAGGCAGGAGCAGGCTGGGGGTGCCGGGTCTCAGTGGAAAGGGTGTGTGAGGACGCTGGGGGTGCAGGTTCTCGGCAGGGTGCTGACTGAGGGCTGGGGCCACCTTGGCGCGCCAGCCTTGCCCCCTCTCAGCCGAGGTCCCACACCTCTACCCCTCACTGACTACCTTGCCGAGCAACGGGAAAAGCCTCCTTTAAAAATGTCCCTGCTCTACTATTCCCCCAGCCAGGGAACAGGCAAAGGAAGTGGCAGGACATGGGGAGCCTTGGGGTTCCCCTCCAGGAAGCTGGCGGTGGTGCTCCAGCCTCACCCCTCCACCCACGAGGATGAGGGGGAAGCAACTAGTCGAATCACTATTAGCCAACTAGTCGCTTACATCCCTGTTCTGAAGACAGAATTAATAGTTTGCTCCTAGGTTTTTTTATGGTGCTCATCACTACAGTGATTGCTTCACTCAGACTGAGTTTATTTTTACAACATGCCTGTGAGATCAGTGGTATGAACTGTTTTTCTGCAGTCCCCTGCCTCGCCTCACCATACACAATTTAACTGTTGACACCAATGAGGCAGGGATAACTCCAGATTAGTTTCTCACTACATAACCCTTATTCAGTCCCATACAAGGTCCCTCCTATGCACTAAAATGAGACTTGGATTCTATGGTAGAAGTACATGATCACCTACATTCAGACCCTTTGTCATGCATATGCACAGTTTTGATTATGATTTCACTGGTAATTAGTTCTGGCATTTTCTAACTTTTGAACATGTGGCTATGAAGCCTTAATATAGTTCGAGTAAAATATAAGCTTTGCCATTGTTATGTTTTTGTTTTAAGCACTCCTATTAAAATCTGTTTAAACTTACTTCATGATGTTTTATAAGTTTTTTCCACTGGTTTCTGTTTAGTGCCAGCTGCCTAAGATGCTATAGTTGCTGCAGATGCACTTCAAATACTGTAGTTTACACACAGTATTTAAATTGCATCTGCAGCAACCAGATATTTTAGGTAACTGGCACCAAAAATTATAGTATGAACCTGCAAAGCACTGTGGTACACAAAGGGATGAATAAATACTGATTCAAAGAACTTTCCAGCCACTGTTCTAGTGAAGTGAAATTACCTTTCCTCGTTCAATTTGGATTCTCGTACTCCAAAAACTTTATGGGACTATATATCTAAAGGCAAATGCTTCCAGATTCGAGACACAAGGTGTGAGAAAATCTTTTATTGGACTAACCTCTGTTGGTGAGACTAGCTTTGGAAATTGTCAGACGTCTTAGAAAATACTTGACTAATGCTGATGACACAGGGATATTTAAATAGGGATTTCCTCAATACTTGCAATGTTCTTTCAACCAGTAGCTTCAAGAGAAAATAGCACATTTAAACAGGCAACTTAGAAAATGGAAACTTCAGAATCTCACCTCTAGGTTGTCCTTTCCATATTCTTCAATGGCTCTCTCTTCAGGTAATCCACAACAGCCATACTCCAAAGGAGTAAACACTGTAGTAGGTACATTGACATAGTCACACTAAAATTAAAAGAACACAGTTTTCTTTATATGAACATGTGCATATGACTGGTGTAAAGATAAAAACATCCCTTTTTTAAATAAGGGAACAAGCTGCAGCATTAAATTTCATTTGTTTACAAACACTCGTCATAATAGCACAAGACCCAAGATTCTCAGACAACAAATGCAGTCTGTGAGGTAAATACAATGGTGAAACTAAAGAGAATATTCTCATAGAATATGATCTTACCTTTATAAAACTACCACCAAAAAGCCTGCGAGCTAGTAGCTTGCCTGCCTGAATTGCAACTGGGGTAAGTTCAAGTTTCCCATCCAAGATATCTCCAATAGCATAGATGTGAGGCACATTGGTTTGTTCCTCATCATTTACAGGTATTTTCCCATTCCTTTGGGAGGGGTGTGTGTGTGAGGGGAGAGATGGGAGAGGAAGAGAGGGAAAAAAAGCAAGCGTACAACAATAATCAGATCATACATTCTCAGTTCAGTTTGAGACCTATTCTACTACATGGAAACACTAATACTTTCAGGTGTTCCTCATAAGAAAGAGCTAGAAGTATTTATGCCAGCTCTAGTTAGAGTGTAAACTCCTTGGGCCACACTGACTTTTCCTCCCATACAGTGCCACACAGTCAGTATTTAATGAGCCAGATTCTCATCTCTGTCAACACCACCACTAACATTTGTGAGAAATAAGGATCTGTCCTTCTATTTGACTATTATATAGTTTGCTGAAATAATATACTGCTCCCTCTTAAGCAAAAGAGTACTCTGTTGGCACAGATGATAAGCAAAGCATTCAAGCTATTTAGCCCATGCGCTCTGTTGCTTTGTTCATAATGCTAATTTAATCTGGTTAAACCAGAAGACTGAACTCAGGGTTCATCTATATAAAAAAAATGAAACACCACAAGCCAACCTTAAACAAGCAGATTGCTAAGCCATTTTAGCATTGCAAGGGACAAAAATGCAAGTATAAAGCTTGAGTTTAATGGGCATTCCCACTAAATCTCACATTAGCAAGTTAAGATTTTTTTTTAAAGATCAGTAAATAGCCATGTAACAAAGGGATAAAAAAATATTTATTGGATTATAATTAAAGTTTACAGACTGGCAAAGCAAGAAAAGTTGCTTGAGAACTTAGTTCGATTTACTGAGGTTTACTCTGTATATTTTGACATTTCAACTGTTGTAAATCTAACCTTTTGAATCTCAGTTACTACTGTCTTTAAACTCTCTACTGTCTGACCCTCAAATTTCCCATAACTGAATATTAAATAAAAAAACCACACACACTAAAAATTCTCTGTGAAAATTTAAAAAAAAAATCAAGTTTGTCTATCTTACTCACAGGTCAGTGAAGCAGATGCATTACTGACTACTTCAAATTAATATATACCACCCACCCACTTAAAATAGTGATTTCTATAAGAAGGATACCTTTTAATGTGGTAACACTCATGCTCCCTTTTCTTGGGGCAAGGGCATGAAGATTTTCAATCTCTTAACTGACAAATATCAGAAGCAGGAATTTCAAATTCACTATCAACTATGACTAGTAGGGTTAAGAATCAGAGTAGTCCTGGAGGGAATGTACAACATAAATTATGATACTCACTTTTCATTGATTTTGACACCAATCTTATCTAAACCAATGTTTCTGGTACAGGCATCACGACCAATGGCTATCAAAATCTGCAAAAAAGAAAAAAAGCTCTCAGAGGGGTAGCTATGTTAGTCTGTAACTTTAAAAACAATTAACAGTACTGTAGCACCTTAGACCAACAAATATCTCATTTCATTGAAAACTAAGCAAGGGGACAATTGAAGCCACATACTTAAGTAACTTGAAGACATGAAGGTTTCAGTAGTAAGCCCAATTAGTTCTAACAAGATGATAGAAACAAAAAAATTACTTTGACACTAGAATAATGGTAGGAACTGACAAATGATGACATATAAACACCATATGCAAAAATAGTCCAACTTCTAGTAGGGCAGTTAAAGTATCAGCAATTCTGTGGACAGGGTCATAACAAAATAATACTGTAAACTTCTGATAATCTGGCACCTTTAGGCCCCAGGGGGTGCCAGATTATCAGATATGCCGGACTATCGGAAGGGGGGGGCTATGAGGGGTCTGGGATGGGGTGGGGGAATGCCACCCCAGACCCCTCATAGCCCCCACTTCCGATAGTCCGGCTCTGCCCCAGGCATCCCTGATTCAGCCGCTGCTGGTCAGTTTCAGCAGTGGCTGAATCCAGACGCCTGGGACAGAGCAGCTGGAGTGCTGCCGGGTAGGTCCCGTAGCGCTGCTCCTCGGGGCTGCGGGAACAACCCCGCAGCACCCCAGCTGTCGCCGATTCAGCTGCTGCTGAAACTGACCAGCGGCTGACTCCAGGAAGCCTGAGGCAGAGCTGCTCTGCCCCGGCTTCCTGGAATCAGCCCCTGATCAGTTTCAGAAGCAGCTGACATGGGTACGCCTGGGACAGAGCAGCTGGGGTGCTGCCGGGTTGGGCCCTGCAGTGCCGAGGTGTGGTGCTGCCGGGACCAACCTGGCAGCGCCCCAGCTTCTCTGTCCCAGGCATCCCGATTCAGCTGCTGTTGAAACTGACCAGCAGCTGACTCCAGGAAGCCTGAGGCAGAGCTGCTCTGCCCCGGCTTCCTGGAATCAGCCCCTGATCAGTTTCAGAAGCAGCTGACATGGGTACGCCTGGGACAGAGCAGCTGGGGTGCTGCCGGGTTGGTCTCGCAGCGCCAAGGGTTGGCACTACCGGACCAACCCGGCAGCACTCCAGCTGCTCTGCCCCCGGCTTCCCCGATTCAGCTGCTGGTCAGTTTTAGCAGCGGCTGAATCGGGGAAGCTGGGGGCAGAGCAGCTCCAATGGTCTGGCTGCCCAGAGCACTTCCGGGTTCCTGATGGTGCTGGACTACCAGGAGTGCCAGACCATCAGATGCTGGAAGATTGGAGTTTTACTGTATTGAAATCTTTTTTTCTATGGTATACTGACAACTCTGGCAGGTTGCCAAAGTTATCGAATTTCTTATTGTTCTTCCTTTTCAGTGTTTTCAAATAATATAAATGGATTGAAGAGCTTTAATGATCATTAACATTACGCTCGGATACATGTTTGTGAGCATCATTTAGTGGAGGGATGGGGAACCTCTGGTGCACTAGTCACATGCAGTTCAAAGATTAGCTGCTGGTGAGCCCAGAGATTGTTTACCTGAGCATCCGTAGACTTGGAGCCCTGCAGTTTCCAATGGCTGAGGTTCACCGTTCTTGGCCAACGGAAGCTGCAGAAAGCAGCGTGACCAAAGGCTCACCTTGAAGAACCGCATACTACCCATGGGGCCAGAGGTTCCCCATCTCTAATTTAGTGTCTGATAACAGTGATATCTGAATTATAAAACTGCTTACAGTATTATATTCTCCTTCAACAATTTCTGTTCCTTCAGTAGATTGTGCTACCACTTTCAGTCTTCCTGGCATTCCTTCCTCCAATCTTTCAATCTGTAGGAAAGAATTCATAATCTTAGTTGTTACCTTAACCAGCAGAGCCTTATTGCACTGTCACAATACACTCTTGGTGAATGTTCAGCTATAATAAAATGCTTTAATATAAATGCATGGCTACACAGAATTTTCAGCATTCAGTAGAATTCTTTTCACAAAAGACATTTTATCACAAAAAACTTGTATTCTGTATAATTTGTTCAGGTTGACTCATTATTTAGCAAGAAAGGAGAGGAAAAAAGTGGAAATACTTGCCTGAATGGGTACAAATTTCCTGATGAATTTAACACCATGACTTTCCATATAGGCACCTGATCTCTCTGCCATTTCTTGGTCAAAGCCTCGAAGAAGGATGGAGCGCACCATAATTGTGACATCCAAACCAATGCCAGCAAGAAATCCGGCACACTCCAGAGCCACATAGGAGGCACCCACAATTAGAGTTTTGCCAGGGCAGTAAGGCAGGGAAAAGAGGTCATCACTGAAAAGAATCACAGTAAATATTATAAGTTCTACAATTTAGCTTTGTTTCAATTTGCATGAGCAAAAGCAGACATTAGATAAGTCTTTAACGAGACTAACATCTCACTCACCTAGTAATGCAGTATTCCTTATCTCCAGGGATACCCAAATATCGGGGCCTTTCCCCTGTTGCTAAGACAAATGTCTGTGCTGTGTGAAAGGTTTCCTGTCCTTTCCTGTTGGTTGCCTGAGATACAGGGGGAAAAAAAAAAAAAGTTACAGAGCTATTGTATTCTTAGGTGACAGGAAAGTTACTCCTGGCAAAAGGCATACTGCCAACAAAAAAAACCTCAACTTTATCAAGAGGTTGAAAAAATGCAATAGGATTTAGAAATGAGTTTTGATGACAGATGGATGCAAGTGAAAACCATTATATTGTGGAGTTACTGGGCTACATTGTACAAGGATTTCTTAAGAGTGACATCTATTATTTATTGGTTTATATGAGGAAATACATTAGACTACCTTCCCCATTCTAGTTGCATTGAATAACACAGTGATTAGCTGTCTTGGGCAGGGCTCAGAAGGTTTATGGTAATAAGACAGATTTACAATTAAGTTTTACATTAGTTATTTAAGAAGGAGGTACGCTGTAAGTTTCTTCAACTTGAAAAAAAACGAGTTCAACAGTGGAGCTGCATCTATACTACAAGCCTCTTCCACAAGAGGAAATGTAAATGGAACGCTCATTTGCATTTCCTCTTCGGATCCCTTTTGCACAAAAAAAGAGCTGCATAGGGCTCAAGGAAGAATGGCTCTTGTGCAAAAGGGGGTTTTAGCTCAAAAGGGATCCAAAGAGGAAATGCAAATGAGAGCACAACATATACTAATGAGCACTCCATTTGCATTTCCTTTAGCGGAAGAAGCTTGTAGTATAGACGCAGCCCGATACTAGTGGCAAAACACAGTTATTCAGGTAATTTTGAGGCTTCTGTAGGAACAGTAGGCTAAAAAAGTGCTTTAAGATAGACTGATACATTAGCTAGGAAGAAAAAGACAGTCAGGGTATGTCTACACTACAAAGTTAATTCGAACTAACAGACGTTAGTTTGAATTAACTTTGATAGGCGCTACACTAGCAAACCGCTAGTTTGAACTTAATTCGAACTAGCGGAGCGCTTAATTCGAACTAGGTAAACCTCATTCCACGAGGACTAATGCCTAGTTTGAATTAAGTAGTTCGAATTAAGGGCTGTGTAGCCACTTACCGTATATACTCGAGTATAAGCCGAGTTTATCAGCACATTTTTTGTGCTGAAAAATGCCCCCCTCGGCTTATACTCGAGTCAGCGTCTCGAGAACTGAGGAAAGTGAGTACGCTGGTCAGGTTCTAAGGCATCCAGGTTGTCGTATCTGTCAGGAGGTGTTATTGTTATGGACTGCG